AAACAGAAAAGCAGAAACGTCCATAAAAATCAAGGCAACTTGTGACTCTGTGTACAACCAGAGATATGAAAAATTGTCTCTATATGTGTAATATAAACTGAAATGCACTGTCATATATAACAAATTAGAATAAAAAATATACATAAAGTTAAAAAAAATCTGAGTCAACCAAAACAATAATTAGCAATCTAATAAAATTTTACCTGCTGATGTGGCTTCTGTGTAAGTGGTTCATTTTGTGCCTGAAAAGGAGGTTGGAAAGTCTGCTGTACTGGTGGAGTTGGAGGAATCACAGGCTGAGCCATGGGAGGAAATGGAGGTGTAGGAAGAAGTCCATATCCTGGCATTTGTCCATTAGGAGGAAGTGGAACCTTTAATTTTTAATTAGATTAGATTTTAAGTAAAAGCTATCAAAAACAATTTGGAAAATGCTTAGTTACTTTATATAAAACTAAAATACCTTCTATAAACATCAATCAAGGAAAAGCTACAATGACGTTCAACAATGTTTAACAATTTCAATAGTATAATCTTTCCCGGAAGTATTGTTACACACTCAAGTATTAGATTAAAAATCCTACAAATCATTTCGAAATTATGAATATACTGGTTTGACTTTACACATTTGAAGACAAAGCTTTATTTACATAAGGAAGCACCATGATAGGCTGAACTTAAAGTCAAACGCACTCTACTGTGAATTGTCTTCTTTCAAGGCAAGTAAGCCTTTTGGGAGAGTGATTTCTAGGTTTACTTCTTTTTAAATTTACTAAGAGAGTAATTTCAACATACTCAGAGTTTCAAAAAAAAAATGATTTAAAAAATTTTCATTTTATTCATAATACCAACTTAGCAAACCACAACTTAACATTATTTCTGCATGTACAATTCAAGCACTAACACAACAAGTATAATATACTAATGTCACAAAATCTTTCCAATTATTATAATTGCTGGAAATACAGTAATTCATGAGTTTTATTCATATTTTAAACAGGTTTTTAAAATACTTTCCAAACATCACCAACAAGTCTCTAAAAATTAACTTCATATTATAAAATATGAAGAAGAAACTGAAATAAATACATATTAAGAGAATGAATATAGGGTAAAGAGATGTCTTAAAGTCTTTTCTAAAAAGACTACATAAAGTATTATTTCCCAGAGCTAGCTTGTACAAGAGAATCCAATAAGACAATCACTGTAGCACTGAAAAGAAGAAAATCAAAAACCAAGATTCTCTAGAATGATTGTAGTACTGAAGGGATATACTGTATGTGTTTGTGTCGCATATATATATTTATATATTTTGCATTGGGGAATGAACCCAAGGGCACTCAACCACTGAGCTACATCCTTAACCTTTTTTTGTATTTTATTTAGAGACAGGGTCTCAATGCGTTGCTTAGGGCCTCACTAAATTGCCAAGGTTGGCTCTAAACTCACGATCTTCCTGCCTTAGCTTTTCGAGCCACTGGGATTATAGGCATTTGTCAGTGAGCCCAGCCATGCTCTGTATTTTTAACATGCCCTCTCCTTGCTTCAATAACTCAGATGCATAGCCAAGTTTAAGAAACTGAATTAGAGGACTTACTGAATCAGATTCAATGAACGAATCTCTAACTTCCTGTAAATCTCCAGTATGCTCCTTTAATTTCAGATTTCAAACTATATTTTCTGAACATTGAGAGTTGAAGGCTCTAAAGTATGTAACTGTATAACATGCAGAAAAATGGGAAAGAGCTGTGTAACTAAATAAGTGAGTTTTTTAAAATAGAACTGTAATGTCTCTCTAAACTATTTTAACTAAAATTATAACAGTCTTGTGCTTAACAGTTATTAATTGGAGCTGCTGTATTACTTAATCACAAGTTAACAGTGGTCTGTGAAGCGCAAACTACATTCTCTAAGGAACAGATCTTGAGTTATTAAAACTCAGTTGCAAGAAAAATGCCCACACCTGATGGTGTACTGGATCTTGTTGCATTCCCATCATTCGAGGTGGAAACTGATCCATATTTGGATGTTGTGTATAAGCGGGCTGCTGCATGCCATCTCCAGGAAATCCACTAAAAAAAAAAAAAAAAGTGAATAATCTTTTAACTCATTTAGAAGCACTTAAGATTCTCAGACACATCTATGTTATAAAAACATATTGAAATGTTGTCCAAAAGTCATTAGTACTATATTCTCAGTATTATTTCTAACACAAAAGCCATTTTTAAATTCTAAATCTAACAGGATACCTTCTGTTCAAAAGAAAATCCATAATGTTCCAATTTCACAAAATAATCATTCCATAAAAAAAAAAAAGTTGGGGGTTGTGGTGGTGGCTAAATGTTACTCAAATCATACTTCACAACTATTACCAACTTAGAAACTCACAATGTTGTCTGTGGGGGAGGTGGTGAGGTGGCAGTGGGTGCAGCAGCAGCGGGTGCAGCAGCAGCAGTAGCAGGTGTGGCTACAGAAGATGCAGGAGGAACAGCAGGAACAGGTACTGCAGTGGTGACGGCAGCATCTTCTTTCTTTGATTCTTCCACAGCTTCTGGCTCATCATCATAATCAAATCTATCAAGCAGCTTCTGGAATAGGTATGCCAATATTCCATTTTAAAATTTAGACTAGAATTCAGTCTAAACAACAGATGTTTACCATCATTATATACAACATTGTGGTGGGGTTAATGATCTAATTTTGCAAGTGTCCCAGAGGATCTTGGTTGAAAGACAATTTTTACACAAATAACATTTTGAAAAAGACAGAATTTTTTATTCAGCTTTCCTTCTCCAATTATAAGTGCAAAATTTTCTGACCATTTTCTATTTGCTTAATCTCATAATTAACTGAGCAGTGTACTTATTTTCCTAAAATATTCATTTATTTAAGACTAAAAACCTCTGGAACTTTGTGTACATAAAAATGAGTGTACATTCTTAGTCAAATGTCAATGTATAAGATAACTTATCCAATCACTATGAACACACACAGTGAAATATCCCTATATTGCTTATTCAAGATTATACTAACATGATAATTGTTCATTAGTTTTTCAACATCTATGAATATACTAATATGAAATATACTAATATACTAATATGAAAAAGAAAATGGCACAGGACACAGACACAGAGTTGTCTCACCACCTATTCACTAGCTTCTTTTCCAAACTTCAGAGCTTACCATAAATTTCCATTAAAAATAATCAGAATAGGTGGGCGCAGTGGTACACACCTATAATCCCAGGGGCTTGGGAGGCTGAGGCCCTAAGCAATTCAGTGAGACCCTGTTTCTAAATAAAACACAAAAAAGGGCTGGGGATGTGGCTCAGTGGTTAAGTGTCTCTGAGTTCAATCCCACTACCATCCCCCAACAACAACAACAAAAGCCTGCAATGAGATCTAGTTTGTTCTTTTTATAGGTAAGGAAAACTAAACTTCAGGTAATTAAGAAATATAACCAAGATTATTATGTCAATGAATGGTAAAATCAGGATGTAGACACTGGGCCTTCAAAGCCTTCAGTTTTTGGCTTACAATAAGCAAATTTTTCCTTCAAGATGTATCCATTCTACTCATGGATTTCAAGGTCAAAATTCCCAATGTTCTGTGATAGTTCTGCCTATAGACTGTGGTTCTACTTCACTGAAAAACAGATTTCTAAATTAGGAAAGGAAGGAAGGCCCCTTTTTCAACAATACAGTATGGAGGACTAAACCAAGTATAAAGTGTTTGGGACAGAGCTAACTTGCGCCCTGGCCCCATATCAGGGGATCAAAAGTTCTTATTATAAACAAACATTTCATATTTTCTAAACATAAACTCTAAGACCAGGTACCCTGCTGTTTTACACATGTTAGTTTATTTAACTCCTGTGGCAGCAATAAAATATAGTTATTGCCATCAATAATTTACTCTAGTAAATACTGAACATTTATCTAACTCCACATCAGGATAGTGATAGAAGCCAAAGTTAAAATTCTGATTTTAAGTCTCTTAACAAAAACAAAACTTACGATCTTTGCATTTTATCACAGATCAATATTTCTTTAAAGTTTTAAGATCTATACATGTTGCTCTGACAAAAGAATTCTGCAATTAAAAACTATCATCTTTCCCAAAGTAATTTTTGATGCTTTTAACTGAAGATCCACAAAACACTGAAATTGACAAATTCTTAGTGACTAGCTAAAAATAGACAATTTTATGAAAAAGCACAGAATTCCTTTTTATAAATTTGATGTAACAAACACTAGCCAACCCACTTAAGGTAAAATACACTTGAGGAATTATAAGTCAAATTATAAGAACACCTACTAACAGGGTCTTTACTTAATATTTTTATGGAAGGCCTAGTCATTGGCAGAAAAAGAAAAAAGCATGGATACTGGAGAGAAAAAGTCAAATTTAGTAGCTACTTAGAAAACCCAAGAGAACCAACTAGAAAACTAAAGCATTTAATACTGTGACCATTTATAAGCTAAAATAAAATCAACGGTTTTTCTGTCACACGAAGAAAGTATCATTAAACTAGTTAGGTCAAACTCTAATCCAGATGAAGGTATTTTTTAGAGGAGATCACCTCTAAAATCATATAGAGTAAAGCAGACTACCCTTCCTAAGGAGTAGGCCTTAACCAAACAGGTAAAGATCTTGAGAATAAAAACTGGGGTTTCCCGAAGAAGGAATTCTCAACACTGCAACACAGAAACCTTGCCTGAGTTTCCAGTCTGCAGGCTTACAGAATTCAGACTCGGGTCTGCAATGATAACTCTAATCTGAATTTCCAGCCTGCTGACTTGCATGACAATTCAAATTTTCTGGCCCTAAGTGCATGAGTCAATTCCTTAAGATAAATCTCTTTCCATCAATTCATATAATCATTGGTTGTCTCTCTGGTGAATACTAATACATATGACCATGAATAAATAGCCAAAGAAAGTTTGAGAAAGTAGGGGGAACACCTGGAAATAAAACATGGCATATTACATGCTGTGGGTGTAGCTCAGTGGTAAAGTGTTTGCTTAGCATAGGCAAGGTCCTGGGGTCAATCCCTAGCTTACATGTTAAGATGTTACAACTGGGGCTGGGGATGTGGCTTAAGCAGTAGCGCGCTCTCCTGGTATGCGTGCAGCCTGGGTTCGATCCTCAGCACCACATAAAAAGATGTTATTGTGTCCGCCGAAAACTAAAATATAAATATTAAAAAAAAAAATTCTCTCTAAAAAAAAAAAAATCTCTCTAAAAAAAATTCTCTCTAAAAAAATGTTACAACTGGGCTGGGGATGTGGCTCAAGCGGTAGCGCGCTCTCCTGGTATGCGTGCAGCCTGGGTTCGATCCTCAGCACCACATACCAACAAAGATGTTGTGTCCGCCGAGAACTAAAAAATAAATATTAAAAATTCTCTCTCTCTCTCTCTCTCTCTTAAAAAAAAATGTTACAACTGATTATGAAGCAGAAATAAATATATTAGTGGGATAGAACACTGTTAAGCTAGACAAAGAAAGATGGAAATTTTAGTGCATTAAAAAAGTACTGAGGGAGAACTGGCAATTCAAAAAAATATAAAGATTCAACTAGATTTCAAGAGGAAATAGAGACAAAAAAAAGCTACTAGAAGAATAAATTCTTTTAAAGGGCGGTATGGAGTTTTCTGAAAATCAAAATACAGAATAAAAAACTAATAAAACTACCAATGTAAGAATTTACATTGTTCCTTAAACTGGATATGAAAGAATACAACAAATATGTTCAAACTAGTATAGAATTGCTTCCCTTTATATTTTATAATTTTAATATTATTTGTTTTCTCTAATAAGCACGTATTCCTTTTTTCTTAAAACAAAATGCATCCAACCTTTTAATTAGTAAGTCATTCATAAATTACTAGGATACAATGAAAACCAGCATTCACTACATGGATTCTTAAATGGAAACACTGGCAATAAAGCTTATAATTATCTTACAATCAGAATGTTGGAAAGAATCAGAAGTTTTAGATTATGAAACTAAAGATATCATTTAGTTCCATGATTTTCAAACTTTTGTGTTTTGCAACAAAAACTTTTAAAGTAAAACTAAATTTCACATAGCCATGCACCCAATTAAAACAGACAACAGTGGAGCTCTGTGGGTTAAACTTCACAGGAATCTCTGAAATGTCCACGTTCAGCATACCCATGTCCTTAGTCAAAGCTTCTTAGATGTACTTAAGGAACCATAAGGTCCAATACAGCAGCTGAAAGACACTGAACCAACCAAAACCCTCACATTATAGATATGGTAACTAGGGTCTATAAACAACAAACCCAGTAATTTGAAGTCTATATATGTAGGAGAATGGCTCAACTGACCGGTCCAGTTAATGGAATCCTATATATTAAACGGCATTTATTTAAAACTGTAAATTTAAACCCACTAGCAGTAACATCAACAATAAAGTGAGACGAAGAGTAAGATCAAAATAAGCAGGTATGTTATTATGAACAGTTAATGAAAAGTATATATCCACAGGAAATTCATTCTGAAAAGATATATAGCAAAATTTTATAGTAGTAGTTTCTAAGGATGCAGTTTAATGAAGAATTTTCTTGGGTTCAATTTCCTTCATTCCATGAAAACTTTTGCAATGAGCACATCTTATATTTATAACCAGGAAAAATAATCAACATTTTGATGTTGAGTAGGCAGAAAATGTCTCAAATCACAAACAATAAAAGGAACAACCCACAGCAAAGCTACAGAAGGATAACTCCCACAATCCAAGCTGAGTGATACAGACAATGAGGTGGGTGCTGTGAGAGAAGCGTACCTTGTCAAATGCAGTTTTTTGTTCAGGTGGGGGGAAAGCAGCTTTTTGTTCAGGTGGTTGTGTAGGAGCTGTCTTTAACTGAGCCGTGATAGCCTGAACCTGAGCCATCACAGCATTGTCAAGAGCGGGAGACTGTGGTTTTGGAGGTTGTTGAAAAGTCTGAAGGATCTGCTGAAGCTTAAAGAATGGGAAAACTGATAAACCACACAACAAAGTATAATCAGAGTAAAAAAGTTAATTTACTTAAAAAAAATTCATCTTTTACTATTGGTTAAGTTTGTGAATGGAGATATTACAGTGTGCACTGCTTAAAGTTAAAAATGTATACTGACAATCTCAATGATACAAAATGAAGGTAAAAGAAAAGAGAAATACACTTAATTGTGAACAAGGTAAAATGAGTTTTTCTAAAATGTGGAAAAATTCTCTCCAATCAATTTTTAAATCAATCAGAAATGCTACTAGAATTGTGAGCAAGAACACTGGCCACTTAGGAGTTCTAAAGTTGTCTTCAAAGATGTATTGTCATTACCTTGTTTTTCAAATTTGTATTTTTCTTATTATCATATGTAATTATCTCCCTAGTGAGGGCCTCTCTAGTTGAAAAGCAGACGTATTTCCTCCCTTCAATGTGCTTATGAATGAAGAACGGAAAAACAAGAACAGATGACATGACCTAACCATGCAACAATTCAATCGTTGAATAGGTAGCTTACCTGTTGGCCTTGAGTTGTCTGAAACAGTTGAGCCACAGCAGCAAAAGCATCAGAGCTGGGCAACTGTGGTACTGCAGGTATGGAGTTTGGGGTGGTTTGTGGGGGTTCAGAAGAAACTTTGACTGGAGGTGGAGGTGAGCCTTAAAAAAAAGGGAAGGGAGAAATTAAAACCTAAGAAAATGCTAA